GTTGTTGGGAGGAGGGGGTCGTACCGAGACCTTCCTTCGAGAGGGGGGGGGTCGTACTGACACCACCATTTCACACATCACGATGCTGTACCCCGATCGTGTGCGCTCCTTTATTTCATACAGGATAGCATCTTCCGAGCTGCGGTGCTGAACATTAAGGCTTCCGCCCCTGAAACAGGAAGTATAATCTGTGCAACACTGTATAATCCCGAAGGAGTGACAGCTCAACGCCTTAACACTTGAATTACATTGTTCCTCTCCTAGAAGGACGCTCTTGAATCTCAATACCCACGTTTCCTGGTAAAGATGTCCGAAGTTCCTGAACAGCTACCAAATTTGACCACAAAACTAACCTCTTTGACTTTATCCACTTGGGTCAGGAGGGCGGCTCCCATACCACAATGAATTGAGAAGGATTTTGGGCATCCCATGTTCACATCTATTGCCGCAACATCTGTACCACTGCAAAAGCCTTCCATAGCAACAATTTCAGCAAATCAACGTATTTATTTAAAAGTTATCACACCTACACCATTTTTGCCACTTGAGCTGCATTAGACCCACTATTTGTACCAATCTGCAATACACAACGACCAGCCTCCTCTTTCTGAGCTATCCGTAACACTATGTCATCCGCTAGGCCGTAATCGACCGTATCCAATGTGCCTGAATTGAACTCTATCGGCTTCTTGCGGCTTTTTCAGCGGTGAAATGACCAGATTCCAAACTTATACAAGGGCACGTGCGAAACGGAAACTAAGCTACTTCTTTGAGTCACCCCCCTCTAAAACTTGGATAAGAAAAGTGTATTAAGGATTGTAGCAATCAAAATACTATAAAAATCTTATTGAAATCTTATTATTTATTAATTATTTATATAAGAAACTACGGATGCTCTTTCTTTTTACAAGAGAACTCACTATTGAAAGTCCGTACGCAGGATAAAAATTTCTGATCAATTATTTCTTCTGTGTAGCAGAGATCAGCTCCATACTTGAGAGCCAGTAATCTGCAATGGTTGGGTTACTTAAAAAAACAGCAACTTGACGCGTAAATCCGTTTTTTATTCGTCTTTGAGGCGATGCACCTTCATACTGTCACGCCTACTTCAATCTGATGGACCTGTGAACAAGGACACAGTGAAATACCAATGTCAAAAGTAGGTATGGTCTTGTTCGCTGCGGGTTAAGGGGCGTGTCAGACAGAATAGGCCTGGCGCGGCAGAAACCACAAACCGTTCAAGCGAGCATGCGCAAAAGGTATATGGTACTCGTCTCAGTGTGTTTTTTCGCAATTTTGTTTGTCGTATTATCCGCACGCCCCCACCCGCATCTAAACTGGTAATGGAACAGGATTTAACTCCATGCGAAATGATTTCGGCCCTATCTTTAGCGAACAAAACTCTGTGTACCAATGTGACCGCTATTTCCATGCTACAAAACGGCGATAGAGAATTGATCGCGAACCAGCCCACCCAGCTGTTCGCGCTCCGCCCAAGATAACTGGACCTTTGGTCGCTCGCGTACACTTGTAGTCTTCGTGAACTTGTTGGACACAAAATTGACTAGCCCAAGCAGAAAACGTCATCCCAATGAGTAAGGCTAATTGTTCGGCACACATCCTACATCTCTGCCTACAACAGGACCCCGCTCTACCGGACATTACAATTTCATACTACCTCTTAGGGCTCCACTAGCTTGTTAAGAAAATTCGTTACGCTTGGCTAGATTGACACATACTCACTACAAACGAGTCTCCAGTTATGCCCGAAGCTCATCCAACTCACATTCACGCAGACCCCAACCAACAAGCCAAATGCACCCGCTCCCAGGACTCAAATACAACCCCTTGTTGAGGATCCTCAGTCACTGCTGAACCTAAACCAATTCTAAGTCCCACAATTTGAGTAGTCAACTCGCTAAGTTTGTAGGAAGTGCAGAAAAGTGGATTTAGCGGCATCTGGGTGAACAGACTCTCTGAAGCTCCCGATATCTAAGTAAGACAGCGTAGACTAGACTCCGGGACTTGCAGGTTATCACAGGTTTGCTGAGTTATGGGCGACTTCCCCCTTTCTCCATCAGTGAGGCTCGAACCTGGTCCTCTGCTTTCCAAGAAGTCTCTTACTACAAAAAAAGAGACCCACCTACGAGTCGTTTCCGAAACAAAGCATTTTCGCCACAATTCAGCAATCTTGGGCTAACCGTTGTATTAAAGGTCGCGTTCATATTTTGCTATTCTCGCGATAAAATCGCGCGACTGCGTTCCATCGCTTCGATGGTTCAACAGTTAGTAGTGTAAAGCGGCCCTTCATAGTCTCACAATTCCCGAGTCGCTCGAACGAATCGCTCAAGTCGCAGAATTCCAATATGGCGGGACTGCAATGTGATTAGGGCACGACCTGCCAATGGAGAATTTTTTTGTAAAATAC